CTAAGCACTTGTAAGTATTGACACCTGTATAAACCTAATCAAGCAATTAGCTGGAGCATTATGCAAATCATATCAACTAATTAAAGCTTAATTATATCTCCAAGTAAGTAGTTGTGTGGAGAAGGAGAAAAAGAGTGAGGTAAGCACGGACCCAAACTTGAACCACTTTGAGCACTGTTTTGGTCCAATTTCAAAGCAAAGAAGCTTCTGCGAGCAATTCAGTCTTAGTAATTTGGGTGGACAATATCTGCTGCTTGCGACTTGTCTAATTCATTCATCCTCGCATATAATAATACACAGATTTAATTCATTTGAATACATATTATCTTCACGTGGGATCTAATTTGGTTCTGTAAAACTATCATAAAATTGTGACCCTCCTTCCTCCGCTTCTTTTTAAAATATTTTTCTTTTGACTAGATGATTTGCTTTCGACATCACGTATAAAGTTTATTTTTACCATTATATCAATATTTAAAAGAGATTACAAATTCGAATTCTCTTTTCTTTTCGATAGAAACGAATACCGCTATCATATTGTTAGCCACATACTATAGTAATTGGTGCAATATAATATGTAACACCATAATTACATGATCATGCAACGGCTTAAGCGGTTTAGTATTCTGTCTATGCCCACGGAAAGTACTTAATATTTAAACACAACTAGCTAATGATAATCCATGGGCTGGTAGTACATAAATATTAATCTTTAATTTTTATTTTACATTATCCATTCACAAAAAGACGCTAGTAGCAATATTGTAATTCGCATGAATGTTGATAACCATAAATTTTGTCACGTGATTCTCAATTGCAACCAGTGAAATTGAGGGTCAAAGTCCTGGCAGTCAAAATCCAACCAAGTCATTCAAGCCGCTTCCACGTCCTCTAGGAAACCTAATTAAGCATAATATTCAATGGAAAATCATGATTAAAATTGATTAAGTGAGGTGTTTTAGTACGTATGATATGGTTAGCTCAACTTGGCCACCTTTCAAGAACAGAGGTAATGAGAATACTAGAAATTCGATCAGATTCTCATTTAAGTGGACTTTTTTCAAGAAGGACTTGAATTATTTTTTTTGGGTTATCATGATCATTGAAATTTTACTGGTTCCTGCAAGTATTGCACTGATCATGCAAAAGATATTGGGATGAGATCGAAGGGTTTCCATCCTTAGGTCTAATCTAGCGGGGTTAGGATTTGTGAAATTATGCTTTCTTGACTTCAAGAGAAAAGATAGATTCATCCAACACACTGCATTTCAGACATCCATCTAATCTGATGACAAAAAGATAGATTCTTATTTAAAGACATCAATGAGAATAACTCATGATTAAAAGGTCGCGTACCACTAACATACATAAATATAATGTTGGAATTTTCTGCTCAAATACTCAGCATATTAATTAAAGTATTAATGTGATGCAAATGGATATATATATATATATATATATATATATATATATTTTGAGAAGGGGAATTCATTCATAAAATTAGAGACGTAAAAAGAGCGACATGATATATTGACCTTGTTAAAACCTTCCTAGGACAATCTCATGGGACAAACCCCAGGGGAGGAAAAAGTACCACACATGTCATGAACTAACAAGAGAGTCTAATTCAAGTCGCTTTGGACCATTACAATAAAAGAACAAGTCAAAAACAAAAACTAACACACAGACCTCCGACAAGAACTGCTACTAGAGACTAACACAATAGATCCACATGAGAGGACCGCAAAAACCCCAAATAATAAACCCACATGAGAGGACCACATAACATCCCAATTGTCAAAAGAAGCCTTCTATGAACAAAATCATAGTCCTTTGACACCCATACAAACTGTAAGACATACCATAGTAGAAACTAGTAGAGAACACGGAGGAGGAACACAGAAACAACAGTAAAAGGACTCTTGAGAAGCACTCCACTTCAACTTAGAACTTGACGAAGAAAACCTCCTATGACCAAGCATAGTTCTTTAGTCGTGCAGAGTAAAGAAGAGCACAACATCCCAACAACATAATCCAACGTCACTACTATTGCCTCTGCTGAAACAAAGACAACACCAGTCACCTAGAACCATGGGCGGAACTAGGTAGAGGGCTACCATGGGCTCTAGCCTAGGTAGCCTTTTATAAAATTAAAATATATTACATATATTTTAATGTTATTCATCACATAAAAACTTAGTAGCCCACTCAAATGTAGTTTTGTAACCCACTGTCCATTCAATTTTTGTAGGCATATAATCATGTTATATTTAATTTGTTTGCTCAATTAATAAAATAATCTCTTAATAAACACATGATTTTAACCCTTAGCCTTTTACTATTTATCTAAATCTGTACTTTAACATATTTCTAGAAAAACTATAGAAACAGTAAGTATCCAAACAAAAATTGGTCCTTAGATTTTAAGCTATAAAAACTTTAACTAGCCCACCCATAGAAAAATTTCTGGTTCCACCCTTGCCTAGAACACTACAAAAACAACCAAACAAAATAAACAGACAAACAGACCTAGATCCAAACAGATCTAGACTATCTGGGGAGAGGAAGGGGAGGAGAAGAGGGGATAAGAGCAAAGGAAAATATAGGAGAAAAAGAAGGGGAGATGAGGAGAGGAAGGGGAAGATGGGTGGAGGGGAGGAGGGGCAATGGCCACCTCCCCACCTTAGCTTCCTTGTAGTTGGTTGTCAGCAAAGAGAAAGGGGACTAGAGTTCAGCTAGGGTTTACTCGTCAAAGGAGGATATCTATGCAAATGGATAATTTATTTATTTATTTATACGCTTTGTGGCTAAACAGAGTTTGAAACTATCTCCAGGTATTGTTTTATACGATAAGAGGAGCTATTGGTGACTTGGTCATGCATGCTTTGTTTTTGTACAATGACAACTACTTTTCTTATAACTTTCTTCAAAGATTTATTTAAATGACACTCTTAAATAGTAATTAGACAGAGAATTAACTCACCCCACATTCTCTATGGGGTTAACAAAAACTGTTGATGTCAAAATTGGATCAACAATAGGTAAACAATAAAACAAACAATCACAAAGAACACGAGTGTTTACTTGGTTCATCCAAATCAATATGAGTTCCAAGTTACTTCCACAATTGCTTAGTTTGTACTTGACTATAATAATATATTACAATTACAAGAAGTTTGGGGTGGATGCTAGCAATTGTAACATGGTATCAAATGATGCAGAATGGAAGCACGAGTTTACGGATCGATGAACATCTAAACCTGAAAATTAAAACTGAAATTCATCAGTGACTAGAATCCACAAGACAATAGAGAATTTGATTAATAATATGATAAAACTGATTAATACAACGTCATGAATTGGCTTAAATAGAAAACAAAGAAACCCTAAAAGCATATAATATTCCTAAAACTTAACTAATAAGAAAATAATTTAAATCTTAATTAAAATCATAAAAGGAAAATAATATCCTAATTGATAACTTATTTTAGAAATATAAATATAATATAGACCTTCTTAAGAAATCAAGCAACCCCAAAATCCCAACGATGAGCCTTCCTTCTTTTCCTAGCGCCATAATTGATACTCAAGCATGATTTTCCATATTTGAAGCTCAATTTTCTAATTTTGAAATTTCCCCCTTTTTTCAAATTTCCTTCGCAGGAACAAACACATGATTTGTCCTACATCAGACCCCTTCAATTGTAAACTCGGCCTCAAGTTCTCCTTGAATTGAACTTGGGTAGACATAGAAAATGATTAAAATTTTAATTAAAATCATATGAGGAAAATAATATCCTGATTGATAACTTATTCTAGAAATATAAATATAATATAGATCTTCTCAAGAAATCAAACAACCTGAAAATCCCAACGATAAGCATTTTTTCTTTTCCGAGCGCCATAATTGATGCTCAAGCATGATTTTCCATATTTGAAGCGCAATTTTTTGATTTTAAAATTTTCTTCGTAAAAACAAACCCTTGATTTGTCCTACATCATCAAACCATGCTATTCACGTGGTGAGCCCAATAGCCGCTACCATATCACAAAATGTTGTTCTAGTGTTTGGTTTAAGGCACGCCACGTGTAGGCATGTTGTTAGTGTAAATCCCACATTAGGGAAGCAAAGTTTGGTTACAAATTTAGATGATCTTGGTTATCTCCATCAAATGCCAATTGTTTTTTTAGTTGAATACTCACACTAACAATCTAACCATCTCAAATATGTAAGTTTTCGATACCCTTTTATCGATGATAAAGTTGGACATTAAGTGCCCGTTTCGCATTGCTTATTTGGGGTGATAAGTGATTTTTTTAAAATTTCGAGAAGCCCAACCCGTTTGGTAAACTGTGAGAAAATCACTTATTGTTAAAAATTGCTGTGAGTGAAAGCTATAAGAGAAAACAGCTAATGAGGTGCTTTTATTTTCTGATTATCCAGGGATCAGTTTTGAAGAGGCGCTAGGTTTAATGATTATGCGGCAATTATTTTCTGATTATGCATAAAATCAATACCAACAACATTTTTAACAAAAAATTTACCAAATGCCAAACAACTTTCTCTCACAGCAAATCTGACAGCGATTATTTTCACAGCACAGCAATGCCAAACTGTTACATGTTTTCTAGCCAATACTTTGAATGTGGTGAAAACATTATTGTAAACTTTAGCTTGATGGGTTTAACACAATATACATTCTCGATAAGGGTACTTGCACATCATAAAACTAACCAATATATTACTTAGTTGGGATTTGATATTACATAAGCATGGATGCGAGAGAATTTTGAACATGCTCAATCAGCTATAAGAGACGGAACAACGACTTGTCCATACATATTGACATAAGTTGTAATTTCTTACTAATATTGTACTATGATATACTATAAGTAATTGTTCAAACAAGCTGCAGCAAAATGAGTTGCCGACAACTCTTATTTATAGCAACTAGCTCATACTAAACAAGTTTATACGAATAGTTTATAATGGTCATCTGATGGTGGCGGACTTCTTGGAGGGGATCGTGGAGAAATTCTTCGATGGGGTGGTGGCGGACTTCTTGGAGCGGGGAGGTGGTGACTTCTTGGAGGGGGAGGTGGCGGACTTCTTAGAGGCGGAGGTGGTGGACTACTTGGAGGTGGTGGCGGCAGACTTCTTGGAGGGGAAGGCAGCGTACTTCTTGGAAGGGGTGGGGAACTTCTTGGAGGGGGAGGTGGCGAACTTCTTGGAGGGGGAGGTGGTGCACTTCTTGGAGGTGGTGGTGGCGGACTTCTTGGAGGGGGAGGTGGCGAACTTATTAGAGGTAGTGGTGGCAGACTTCTTGGAGGGGGGGGGGGGAAACTTTTTGGGGGGGCTGCTGTGAGGTTGGTGAGGCGGACTTCTTGGAGGTGGTGGCGACAGACTGCTTGGATGTGATGGCGGAGGTGGTGGCGGCGGACTTCTTGGAGGGGAAGGTGGCGGACTTCTTGGAGGTGGTGGTGGCGGACTTCTTGGAGGTGGTGGGGGCGGACTTCTTGGAGGTGGTGGCGACAGACTTCTTGGAGGGGGAGGTGGTGCACTTCTTGGAGGTGGTGGTGGCGGAATTCTTGGAGGTGGTGGGGGGGGAGTTCTGGGAGGTGGTGGTGGCGGACTTCTTCGAGGTGGTGGCGGCAGACTTCTTCGAGGTGGTGATGGCGAACTTCTTCGAGGGGGAAGTGGCGGACTTCTTGGAGGTGGTGGTGGCGGACTTCTTGGAGAGGAAGGTGGCGGACTCCTTACAGGTGGTGGTGGCGGACTTCTAGTAGGGGGAGGTGGCAGACTTCTTGGAGGGGGAGGTGGCGGACTTCTTGGAGGGGGTGGTGGCGGACTTCTTGAACTTATTAGAGGTAGTGGTGGCAGACTTCTTGGAGGGGGAGGTGGAAAACTTTTTGGAGGGGGAGGTGGCAGACTTTTTGGAGAGGGAGGTGGTGGACTTCTTAGAGGTGGTGGTGGCGAACTTCTAGGAGGAGGTGGTGGAGGACTTATTGGTGATGGAGGTGGCAGACTTCTTGGAGGTGGTGGTGGATTGTTTGGTAGTGGGGGTGGTGGATTACTTGGAGGGGGTGGTGGAGGATTGTTTGGCGGTGGAGGCGAATTGTTGGGTGGTGGTGGTGGTCTTACAAAAATAGGGTGTAGTATCAATGTAATAGCACTATTAGGGATAGTACTAGTAGGTGGCTTGAGTTGCTCATGATGTTCTTCAGCAAGAGATGAAGTGATGAGAACCACTACTCCCAACAATAGCACAAGAAATTTTAAGTAACTCATCTTTGAGCTTATGAAGTTACAAAGATCATATGGAGCATCCTTTTATAGTGGTATGGGTGATTGGTAATTGTGTTTATAATTTTGCTAAATAGGGTGGTTGGTGATTGTTATAGATTAGAGTTCCATGCAACATTAATTGAGATCATAAGTTGGAGAATTTGGGCAGTTGCTTGTTTGATATATGCTAGAGAACGTTCAAAATGTAATGCATATTGGTTTTTTATTTTATTTTAGTATAAGTGATAGTATAAACTACATGAGAATGAGATTTCTCTCACATACACACAACTACGATGTAGGGTTTAAATAGAAAAACTCAATACTCTTATCATTGAGCTATGAACTAGTTGGCGGAAGTTTAGGCTAATTGCCCACTCTAAAAATGAATGTGAATGAGAATGAGAAGAGATAAAATTGTCATAAAAGGACATAACAAAATAATACATAAGTTTTCTAAAAATAATAATACATAATTTTTTAACAAAAATAGCAACGGGCATCCTTTTTTCTTCTTCTTTGGTTTGGTCCTCCCGTTCTACTCACGGCAATACCACTGAGGTGATTGAGAGTTAGGCATTGACAATAATACATAAACTTAAAATTAGTCTAAACTCTAAGCTTAGCTTAGGGTTAAGTATCCAATATTATGTCTTCCCTTGCGCTGCTTGTAGTATTCAACCACTCTTCAAAATATAGGAGGTAGAGTTGGGGGTTTGGCATAATGAGTCTCACTATAGGGGTTGTGTGGTCATCAAAACCCTTTTAATTTCCACCAAAACGCTGAGATTGACTTGACTGTCCTTCAAAAAGAAGATTTCTCTGTAATCCATGTGATATTTGTGTGATCAACTAACTCTTAGTTGAGTAGTATTTCTTTTCCTAATACAAAAAGATGTGTCGAATCGAAACCCTTTTCCTCTTAATTTCCCCCTCAAACAGTTTGAGGGTAATGTTAGTCTTATGATATTATGACTGTAGAGAGCTAGAGCAAGGCAAAATATTATTGCTGGAAATAGTTTTGCTCCTTGTGAAAAATAAAGAAATTCGGTTTGCTGGAAATAGCCATTGACAATAATACATTTTAAAGTCTTAAATATTCCATTAATGGCAGAATGTTAAGGCTAAAAGTGTAGGAATGCCAGCCAAGGGGTATTATTAACTGCGTCCAAAAAGCATACTAATATCTTCTTTATACGTCTGTGAGTCATTAGTGAATCTTAATTGGTATCATGCTTTATGCATGGTTACTTTGATATTGTGGTGTGGTAATTTAAATCATGAATATATATATATGCATGGAGCTTCCGTTGAAGGATTCCTTAAATAAGTTTATTTGAGATACACGCTTGTAGGGCCCACCATATATTGTAATTCATTAATCCAAATCATCTATTTGGTTGATATTTATTCGAAGATCATCTTTGAAAAAAATCACTTGAATCCGATATTATTTGATCACTCAATTAAATTATTAAAATTTTAGTACTTTCTTGACGCACTGTGTTAATTGACTTTGTAGGACACAATTAGATGTCTAAATGGTTTATGATTTATGTCCTTTTTTGTAAAGATGATCTATAAATGAAGATTTCAAAAATAGATGATTTGGATTGTTAGAAAAATATTCGTAGGATACCTTAAAGGTTCTACCTGAAATAAAATTATTTGAAGAATCTTTCAATAAAATGAAATTGTGTATATATGCATAATTGAAACACCTGATTTGCACTATCTCTGGAGATATTTGCAAGACTATTACAACTTGTTAATTCAAATTCAACAAATTTACGCTATCTGTAAAAGTCAACCACTATTATGTATGTAACCCACTATATACATAATTGTAATCGTAATCATATGATTCAAACTTGAAACCCCATTCAACTAAGTGAATACAACTACCCATAAAATCATAAACTAGTTGATACCATAATTATTTAATATAAACAAATTTTGAATCCGTATTTTCTGTTTAGTACCGTGCCTTTATGCTGCTTGGTTCATATACTCGTAGTCTGCTAGTGATGAAAATGTTTGAGATTAAATTTATTGAAGATTTCCTGATTTTGCTAGTTCTGTTTGCCAACCGATTATAATTCTTTGTATGTTCTGAAAACTTTGTTCAACATGGTGGGTAATTTAGAATAGAAGCTTAAATTTTATGAATAAAACCTACTCACTTGGGAAATAATTGTTTTTTAAACAAAGAGAATCTGAACATATGCTCCCTCGGATACAAAGCAAATCAGAACACCAACTTGTCCAAACATAATGATGATGACATGAGCATTGGTTACAAACACTAATAATTAGTTTATGGTCATTAATTTGGATGAATATGTGGTGTTGAGTTTGGGGTGTGGGGTTGTCTTGTAGTATGGGGGCAGCTTCTAATTATATATGGAGCTGGAGGTGAATTTAATATATATCTTCCCCTATGCTGGTAGGATTCAGGACTCTTCAGGAGGTAGAGTTGGGGGTTTGGCATGATGAGGTTGTGGTCTCACAATGGGAGGTAAAGAACTTGATGCTTCTTTTTTTTTTTTTTTTAAATATAATATAATTCTAAATTAATCTAATTTATGGAGAAAGGGATTTGACCTTCGGTGCAGGAGGGGCGGGCTCACTACCCTAGCCAACTGGCTTACATCTGTAAAGAACTTATTGATTTGACGGGTGGCATGGCTTCTCTACTATGAGAAAATGGTTTTGCTATCCCCGACCAATCACGATATGCCAAGTGGAAAAGTTATCACGCATGACATAGCGTGATTAGTAGGGGATAGCAAAACAGTGCTATACCTATTGCACACAAGCAAGGTCTAAAATATCGAGAAAATATTGGACTTGTTCAAGGTTAAAGAAAACTTAAAAAATCCTAGCCTCCCTCTCTCTCCTTGCCGACAACCAACCTTTTCTAAGCTAAGGGAGGTGTCCATTGCCGCTACTCCCCTCCGCCCATCTTCTCCATTCCTATCATCTCTCCCATCTTTTTCCCTTCCTTTCATCATCTTTCCCCCTCTTTCCACTTCCCTTGGGGCTTTTGCTAGCCCTTCTCTCCCATTCCACTTCTCCTTCCCAGATCTACTTGGATCTTAGGCTTTTAGCCTCGAATTTTTTGGATCTAGGTCTGTTTGTGTGTTTTTTTTCCTTGGCTATTTTTGCATTGTTCTAGGTGGCTGGTGTTGTCTCCTTCTCGGTGGCTGCAACAGTAGTGACGCTAGATTAGGTCTCTCTTTAAGAGAGTTAGGATACTTGGTGGCTAATATTTTGTCTTTGTTTCAACGATCGCGGCAGCATCGACGCTGGTTGTAGTTGTTATCATGTGGTGGTATGCCCTTTGAGGGTTTTCGTCTTCGGTTTTAGCATATGTTTTGCTGTCATTTTCAATTGTTTTGTTGCTCATTTGCAGCTCGTCTCTACTCTGTGCAGCCTGAAGACCTATGTTTGGTCATAGGAGTTCCTTTGTCAAGTTCTGAGTTGAGTTGGAGTGCTTTTAAGAGGTCTCTCTTGTTATTATTTCATGCTCTTCAACTGTGTGCTTTCTTGGGTTTCTGTCCTTTGTGTGTGTTTTTGCAGTTCGTAGGCGGTCAAAGGACTATGAGTTTTTCTCATAAAAGGCTTCTTTTAACAATTGGGATGCGATATGGTTCTCTTTATGGGTCTACTGTGTTAGTGTTTAATTGTTTTTTTTTTTTTTGGTTCTTGTAACGGTCTTTTGTGGTTCGGGTCTTAGTCCTTGGCATGTGTGGTACTCTTTCCTACCTTGGGGGTTGTCTAAAGTGGTTTTCCTAGGAAGGTTTTAATGAGGCTATTGTATTCATGCTAGTCTTTGTATGCCATTTTGGCTTATTAATGAAATCTTCTGTTATGAAAAAAGGTCTAAAATATCGAGGGTTTTGGAAATATCAGAGGTCCAAAAATATGGAAATATCGGGAAATTATCAATATCAAGAAAAATTGAATAAAAACCATAGTAATTGTAAGAAAATTTTGATTGAAACTTTGGACGTTGTTTATTTTGTCAATTATCTATTATTTTGATTTATTTAAGTTGATTATATAGCGAGTTGACAAACATTATAAGTATAGAAAATATGTAGTAATTAATGAAAAAAGATTAAACGCCCATAATCATTTATTTATAATGATTTACTATAACATTTTACGCTTTATACATTGCATGGTAAGATATATGAATGACTTAGTACCACATAGAGTTCCTATGCGTTTCAAAATTTTCATTGTCTTTATTGTCTATATGTGTGAAGTACGTGTATTATGAAGAGTAGTTATCAAATGATAAATCCCCAAAATAGCTTTGCATATAATTGTTAACATGCTACCCATATGGATCCAAGATTGGTTGACATTGCCCATAAGAAAAATCATTTAAAGATTGGGCCTCAGATTCTTTCCATGAGCCGCTTGATTCCATCCCAAAAGGCATGGGACACGAAGGGGAGGGAAAAAGTTGGTTTTGCTTGTAATAAATTCATTAGCGGTGTAGGGGATAAGGCGTTGGAGGAAGAATTGAAGTGGCACAGGTTCGAATCCCCATGCATACGCCCGTACAAGCTTTTTCATTATTTTTTTTCCTATTCCATGTCCATGTTGCATTATTATTCCTAGTATCACGATATATTGACCAAATGTTGATGTTAATTGAAGGATATTATCGGTGCCGAAATTTTCTCAAAAATTTCACGATGCTATCAATATTTATATGAATAGTACATAGATATGTTCCAAAATATCCCCCTCCCGAAAAACGATAATATCCTCAATATTTCGGCAATATTATCAATATTTCACTCCTTGCACACAATTACGTTTCTCCTCTACTATAGCACAATCTCCAAACAATAGCACAAGCAACTTTGAGAAACTTTTGAAAGCAATTTTCCATCAAAATCTTCATATTGGTTTGATTGCCCTCCACAAGAAAACATTCTATGTAACCAATATGACACGTGTGATCATATTGCCCTTAATCTATTAGTACTTTATTTCTTCTTCTGAAAACAAGAAGAGGTTTCAAATTTAAATCCCTTTTTTTTTGTTTATTTTTTTTTTAAAAATGATGTTGATGTAGCCTATTAAAGATGGCTCCGCGGTAAAGTTAGTCTAATGAGATTCTAAGGTATAGATGGGTTGTTTAGTTCAAGGTTTAGAAGCTTAATAATGGATATGAAATTGCATTCTCATATTTGGTAAATGCATTCTTAAGAATGCAACACCTAACTCATTGGTATGAAATTCTCAAGTAGGGAGAATTTCATACCCTTAGTGCTCCTTGGGATACTCTTCGTCTATTGATCCTTAAAATGGTTAGTGTTCTTTGGGAAACTCTTCATCTATTGATCCTTAAAAAGGGGTCTAACCCAGTGAAAAAGAGCGTTGACTTGCAGGTAAGTGGTCTCATATTTGAATCTAGATGGCACCTTAGTAGTGTGTATGTGAGAAACCCCTTTGTAGGATTTAGACTATAGCTTATATTAAAATAATAATAATAATAATAACTAAAGGGTGTTGTTGAAAAATTGAAAAACTTTTCATTCATAATACTACACAAACCACACATGGGAACACGAGAAAATGGCTTTTCCAAATTCTCACTTCCCCGCGTTCCCAAACATGGGAATAAACATCCGACATTCCCATCTTGTGGGATTAGACATGGAAATTTCATTCCTATGAAATCTGCAAACCAAACGGCCCAGAGAGTTGGAACAATGCAAAGATTTTGTTTATCTTTTGGTTGGGCCAATATGTTTCTGGGACTCCGTTTATTGTATCTGGGCCGTTAGATTTCGGCCTCCCTGTTTTGTTTGTTACCTCAGCGGAGGTTGGAGCCCTTTTCTGGTTCTTTGGGCTTAGTTATATTTCCTTGTTTTGGGCTATTTCTAAATTATTTGGGTTGTGCCCTTTCTGCGTTTGACGTCGTTTATTGTTTAATTTGTTTGATTTTTGAGTTGGAGCTGGTTGGGTCCTTCTCATTTGAAGGTAGGGTCAGTCTCAAATGGAAAATATTATTGTTGGATGTAAAAAATAAAGAAATTCGGTTTTGTGGGCTTATGGCCTAAATTAGTTGGAGGAATAATGCCATTCAAAAGACTGAATTAACATGACCCACATTTTTCCATCCTAGAAAATTTGTTCCTTAAGCGGATCATGGCTACTGATGAAGTAAAGAAGAAAGGGATGCTTAAATATATATATATATATATGTGTGTGTGTGTGTGTGCGTGTGTGTGTGGAGTTTGAGTTGAGGGATTTCTCAAATAAGCTTATTTGAGAGATACCTTGTAGGGCACACTCTTTGTTGTATTTCACTAATCCTAATTGTTTATTTTGTAGATATTCATTCAAAGATCATCTCTTTAAAAAAATAACTTGAATCCGATATCATTTGATCATTCAATTGAAATATTGAAATTTTAGTACTTTCTTGAAGAACTGTGTTCATTAATTTTGTAGGACATAATTGAATGTCGAAATAGTTTCCGATTTGTCTAATTTTTTTCAAGGATGATCTATAAATGTGAGCTTAAAAAATAGATGGTTTGGATAGTTGAAAAACAATTCATAGGGGACCCTATATATACAGAGAGCTTCCATTGAGGGATCCCTTAAATAAGCTTATTTGAGAGACGCCTTTGTAGGGCCTACTCCGCATTGTATTTCACTAATCCAAACCGTCTATTTTTTAGATAATCATTCAAAGATCATCTCTATAAAAAATCACTTGAATCCGATATCATTTGACCATTCAATTGAGTTATTGAAAGTTTAGTACTTTCTTAAAGCACCGTGTTCATTGATTTTGAATGACACAATTGGATGTCGAAATGGTTTCCGATTTGTATATATTGAACTACTTTTTGTTGCCACAGTCTGCCGCTAGATTCACACACACACATATATATGCTCTTCTATTGATGAAGCTGGCATTATATTTATAGTGAATTTCGTGATGTGGATTATTGTGTTTGCGGACCAATCATTCTCTGTATGTTGTGAAAGCTTTGTTTATCATGGTGGGTTTTGTCATTTAAAAACATAGACAGTATCAACCAACCAATTTTACAATATCATAAAACACAAGTAATAGTATTACTGCAGTTGGAAATTGATATTGCATACATATATAAAGCAAGAGACAACATGCTCAATCAGCCACAAGTGAAGAAACAACTTGCTGATACATAACCACATGACATGAAAATTCCATGCAAATAACTAGTAATTATAATGGAGTCACACTAGAAGCTGCTGCAAAATGAGTTGATGTCCAGAACTCTTATTTCTAGCTAGCAACCGGCTCTCTCTCATTTATTCTAGGTCACTAGTTGAGATGGACAGGTGGAGTTCAGGGCTTGTGGGGTGGACTGTAGTATGGGGGAGGCTTCTTCTTATATGGAGTTGGAGGTAGAGGTTTCTTCCCTTCTGGCTTTTGTGGGGGTAGAGGAGCCTTGATTGGAGGAGGGTGTTTTGGGTAACCAGGTGTGGGTGGTTTCACAACTGGAGGTAGAGTTGGTGTCTTAGGATAAGGTGGTGGAAGTGGCTTGGTCACCGGTGTAGGCGGCGGTACATGTATAATAGGAGGCTGAGTGCTTGGTGGTTTGCCATAAGGTGAGGGTGGTGGTGGCCTCACCACTCTAGGAGGCAGAGTTGGTGGCTTGGGTTTGGGCACTATTGGTGGGGATGGCTTCTTGATGGGAGCTGGGGGCTTGTAAATAGGAGAAGGAGTTGGTGGTTTGGGTTTGGGCACTATTGGTGGTGATGGCTTCTTGATGGGAGCTGGGGGCTTGTAAATAGGAGAAGGAGTGGGTGGCTTGGGTTTTTCATTGTACTCAGCTAGCGATGAACTGATGAGAACCACCAGGCCAAACAATAGCACAAGCAACTTTGAGTAACTCATGGTGTTTTTTGTGATGGTATAAGATCTAGACGGCATCGGTTGCTATTTATAGTGCTCTCATGCCCGTGTCGGCAGCACGTGTCAAAAGATCTTGGTCATTTTGTTTCATAGTTAACAGTCAAGGATTTTCAAATTCATGAGAAGAAAAGTAAGATTTTTTTGGCCGAATAAAAGTTTAGAAGAGGGGAGGGTAGGGTATATCAAGATCTCTTTGAAGACTTATAAAGGGAGTTTTAGCCATTTGTTTGGTTTTTACAAATTACCCACCAAAAAGGATTGTCAGAAGTGAAATCTGAATCTAGACCTTGATAGCACAGAGAATGATCTTTATTATCTCAACAAACCCTCGTTGACAAGGAAGTAAGATTTTCAATTGGTACGAATGATTGTTGATACAAGTGCTGTTGAGAAAGGATCTTGTAAATGATAAATTCTCTTAATCATTTGAGTAACAAATTCTTTATAAATAAACTGACCGATTGATTATTGATTGCAATAATGGTAACTGTAAATAAAAATTGAGTTTTAGTATTTAATGGAAAATGACAGGACAGTATTTTACTAGTTGAAAATACCCAAGTTGTTGTCGGTGTAGATAAAAACAAATGATTCACTCTTCCAAGATGTGGAGATTTGAATTTGTGTACGTCTGGCATTAATCTTTTCAAAAGATTTTGGACTTTTGTGTGAATTTAAGTTAATTTGAGTTTACATTATGCGTTCCATGGTCTATATAATTTAGACTGGTTTAATTTTCCACGTTGAATGACTTTTGTATGTGGACTTTTCCCCCCATATTTCTTTTTTATTGTCCTCTCCTCCGTCGTCGTTAGTTTTGTCGCTTATCATCCTTATGGTGTGATAATAATTGGAAACGAGTGTTTCTATTCTGGTCTCCCAAGCTATGTCATTAAACTCTAACATGGTTTGTGTTGGTATCTGAACTCTTCCAATGGGCACTACTGAGGGAACTGAGGCCAAGCCATTGATATGTCAGCTTAGCGTTAATGAAGAAATAAATATATTTGCTAACCATCGATGCCTCCGTTCAGCTTCAGCTTACTTTATTTTGTTAGGTCTTACAACTTTTTTATTTTACTTTTAAATACAAGCGATAGTCTAAACTTAAGTGGAGGGAGGTTTCTTACAAACTACCAAGGTAATATGGGACTAGTGTGCAAGTAAATGTCATTCTTCACTCGGCTAGACTCTGTTAACATTATGTCAACAGTAAAAAAAAAAAAAAAGATGTATCACTGAATCACTATAGGAACAGTATTATTTCACTTTCATCTTTTGCTATCTACTTTCACCGTACTATATCACTATCGGAACAATGCAAAATTTTTGGAATCAATTAGGGAACGAAGGTGTGAATATTATATCTCCGTTCCCTTTTGTAATAAAATATGTATAGAGTTGAGCAATGGTCACAAAATTCGTTGCTTTCCAAAAGATTGCTATTTCATTTCTGGTTAAATAGTCGTGTAGTGTTAAAAAGCGAGTCTTCAGCAGCCGCGTTTCTTGATTTCCCTCATGGATTTGGTGAATTTGATGGCTGCTTGCGGACCAATTAGCCGAAGGACATGTGCTCTACCTAAAAGGTAAAAATCAGAGAAAGGAGAGATCGGACTTGCGACCAAATATATAGTGAGACACATTACAAGATAGAAGTTTTGCAATAATTCTTGAAAGATCTTGAGCGTCTCGATCTGAATTGATTTTGCGTTGGATGCTCACATTTTATATTATATATATATATAATAACTTAATATATTTACTAATCTTGTTTTTACAGAAAATTGTTAAGGATTATTGCAAAACGAAAGTGTATTTGTTTATTTGTTTGGGTTATTCCTACAATGTGCATCCCACCGCCGCGTATTTTGCTTTCTCTATAGTCGTTAGGTTCCTTCACGTCAATATTATATTCAATCTAATTTTCGCTTTCAATTACCAGTGTCCACTCGGTTTTCTTGACGTTTTGGTGTCATGTATTGGACCCGAATAGCGGATATCATCTGTCTCTTCCGTTGATGAAGGGATAAATGCCATCGAATCAGAAGATCTTACTTTTCTAAGTGGGCTTTTTCTCTTGTCTCCTCCCAATCTTCGTCGACTAAGATCTTCTTTTTCTTTTTCTTACCTTCTTAATCATTATACGAAGAATTATCTTTTGGGTGCGAACCTTAAAACACCATTGGATGAGATTTATGATTTTTGTAGGGAAGAATATTGAAGTTCCGCATCGAAAACTTAACAAAATCAAATACTCTATATAATGAATGATTTCACTACTAATAACATCGAGACTTTTTGTATAAAATCTCATAACTGCTAAATATATGGTTAAGTTGAAGACTATATTGATATTATTACTAGTGGGCCATGGTTTGAAAATTCAATCTGATTATGGCTTTCAATTACTAGTGTCCACTGGGTTTTCTGACGTTTTGATGTTATGTGCTGTTTGATTTTCAAACTAATTATGGTTTCTGGTGGAAATCAAATTTAGAGAAAGCAACCCTTACGGCCTAGAAAAAGAAAAAGGTTAGACGGCCCTAACTTCCTGGTTAAGGATAAGAATTTGAACTGGCAAATCAGTGAACCGGAACCGAATCTGTATGAACTGGCTACATTTATATCTAGTTTTTAATTTATTTTTACAGATGTCTTGTTCTCATTGTTGATTCTATACAATTAGTACATAAGTAATTTAACAAAAAAACGCAATTTTCTAAAACGGTCCTCCTTTTTTCTCCTTCTATGGTTTGGTCCTCTATTCACGGCGATACTTCGGCCGCTGAGGTGATTGAGCATAGCCATTGACAATAATACAATTTAAAGTCTTAAACTCCATACTTTGCTTAGGGTTAAGTATTCCATTAGTGGCAGAATGTTAAGGCTAAAGATACGCTATCTCAAAAAGTCAACCACAATTATATATGTATAGCACTATAAATATACAATCGTAAGGGTAATGCTATACTAGATCCCGAGCCTTTGCATTTAGAGTCCACGCATTTATCCTTATTGGCTTCATCTTGACCATTACAACGATCCAACGACTTAAAATATGACAGATCATTACATCATAAAGTTTTATTTTTATAATTGACGTTACTGTTACCATTTCCTCAATAGGAATGCTAGTAACCTTCTCTCCAACCTTCTCTTTTGGACATTCTCTATTTTTCTCATGACATATGTCACTTCCCATACACTTAAAATAATGACATTAATACATCAAACAAACCACCTTTTGTTTTTCAAGTTTACCCTTATTAAATGTATTGTCCTTCAATTTATCCAATTTTTCTTACAACTCTCTTACCATATGTAAAAAATTAAAAAAAATTAAAAAATTCTGTTTTTGAAAAGAAAATGTCTATTTTTTTTTATAGAGGAAAAACGCACAATGACCTTAAAAAAATCCACAAAAGATATATCCTTTTTTTATACAGACAAAAGACGTCCTTATAAGGAAGTATGTTTTAAATGGAAGTTCATTGATTGTATTTTCAAACCATTAATTCGGTAAGTCTGATTATTGAATTTTTTTTTTCTTCCTAAACCATTAGTTAAGTAAGTCTTATTTATTGAAGTCTTTCAAAAAAGAAAAGAAAAACTAATGTTTTTTCTTATTTAATTTTTTAACAATGTGATCAGAAAGTTGTAACAAATTTGGATAATAAGTTTAAGGAAACATTAAAATCAATACAAAAAATAAGGGCAAATTTGAAAACAAATGTTATCTTATTTGATGCATTAATTACATTGTTTTTAGTGTAAGGAAAGTGACACATGTCATGAGGAAAAGGGAGAAGGTCCAAAAGAGAATGTTAGAGAGAAGGTTGCTAGCATTCCCCTTTCTTCAAAGCCTTTCCCCCCTGCTTGCTCTCTTCCCTCTCTAATCTCTCTCAATTTTTGCTTCTCATGAATATCTACTACTCAGCATCCTAAATTGAATTTCCTATTTTTAATACAATCTCAATCGATTCCCTATAAACATATGCTGAACCATCTCTCCTCTTCCGCCTCCATGTCCAAGTCACCACAAACCCGAGCTCTAAATTGGGAGTTCGGCTTAGGGGAAAAAAAAAACCTAAATTTCATAACAGACACGTGGTATAAAATGCAAAGATACCACATCATGTGATATAAAAATGTGGTAAGACTAATATTATTCTAACCGTAATCATATGATTCAAACTTGAAACCCCATTCAACTAAATGAAGACAACTACCCAAAAAATCATAAACTAGTTGATATAAAAATTATTTACTATAAACAAATTTTGAATATGTATTTTCTGTTAAGTATGGATGTAGGACTAGGGTTAAGTATTAAGTTGGATGATTTTTTTGCCTTTTTACTATAATTATTCTCTCTGCTGCTAAGGGATGGGTTCAGGCCTCCCTTGCTGCTGTGATTAAGGTGGATAAGGTGCATTCTTTTATCTCTTGGAAACTTCCTCGCCCTGCTCAGTTTAATCTTAATGTTGATGGGTAGGTGCACTTCCTCTGGATGTATTGGGGCTGGGGATGTGATTCGTGACGCTTCTGGTGGCGGATTGGTGGGTTTTCAGTGAACCTTGCCCAGGGACATATCTTGGATGCTGAAATTTGGGGGTTATATTTTGGCCTTAAGCTTGCTCTGACTAAAGGTATAACCTGCTTTATTATTGAAATGGATGCTGCTGTGGTTGTCCCACTAGTCAAGAATATTGATGGTCTGGCTCACCACCCCCTTGCTTTCCTGATTAATGTTTGCTGTGCTCTCATGCAACAATTTGCAAATAGTTGCACTCTCCTTCATATTTACAGAGAATGAAATTGTGTGTGGTTTGGCAAATTGGAGTTACAACTTAGACTTGGGTATCCTTTATTTTGATGAAGCTCCAAATGTGTCCTATCTTAATTCATTAGATTATTGGAACGATGGGTAGATGCACACTATCTAAATGCAGAGGCTCAAAATCCGCATAGTTTAATCTTTTAATTAATGCTAACT